GGGGGGGGGGGGCGGTAAGATTCAGAATCTTGAGGGCGGCTGTAGCAGGACCTCGGGGTGGTTGCGGGACAGCAAGGCCGGGCAGACGACAGGGGCCTGACTGGAAAGAGCCTGTGACCGCGGGAGGGCAGGTCCATGACCCAGTGGCTGTGGCCAGCTGGGATCGTGGTCCCCAAATGCAGCCGCTGCACCGTCGCCGGGTTTCTTCGGCAAACAACCCAGGCCAGCGTGTTTCTGGAACTCTCCGGGCCTTGGAACTCTGGACCAGCTACGGATCTTTCCCGGGAAAATGTCCGAATTGCATACAATTAGTTGTACACACATTCTTAGGAGTAGGAAAGTATGTGTACACGCACGAGTTTGCAAATGTATTCACGTATTCCCAGGCCCGCACCCGGATTCCCGGCTAAGGAACGCTGCCCTTTTATCTGGTCACCTCACTGACTGCGCAAACCTGCCCACACATGTCCCTCCCTGAGGGGCCATATCCCGCCTAAATGGAGCCGGCAGGACTTTGCCTATGCAAAGCTGCAACGGATCCTGCCACATCTTCGCAGACTGCGCAAAGCGGAGTCAAAGATTCGTTCCGGACAGAGAGGAGGCACTACAAGAAGAGCAGGGTTTTGAAGGAAAACCCTGTGGGGCGGCGCTCATTTGCCAGCTGGGTAAAGGAGCTTTGAGAGCTCCGGGACTGGCCTGGGAAAGTTAGAAAAAAGGTCGCGGAGGCCAAACCACTCCGGCCGGTCCTGAACCTGCACTCCTTCGACTTAACAGGCTTTACATGCCAGGTCCACGTGTGCAGCGACAAGGTGCCCTGCGACTTGGTGTGCGTAGTGGACGGCCAGTGTTGCCTGGATCACTGTTGGATGTGGGCTGTACACACCTACCACGCGGGCACAGGGCCCGCGCCGGCTGAACTCACCCTCACTTGTATTGGTTGTGCGGGCAGGAGTGTCACCTATGTGCAGTACGTGGTCCTTCTTATCCTTCGAACGCGACCACCAGGAATCAGTCTGTCAGCGCCCCAGCCCGATTCACGGCAGGTGTGTGACAGCTTCACTCTCTGGGCACACTCTTTAAGTTGCGGCTCGCGCCGCGCACAGTGGGCACCACCATACAGAGCGCACAACACACACACACACACACACACACCCATGTGGCAGAGGGGGGGGGATACTGGGGCTGGTGAAGAACGAAGACTGCCGATAGTCGGGGTGGGGATGGATTCAACCACAGGTGAGTGCAAACATTCCGACCCCCGTACTCGTTTCTCTGCACTACTGAACTTGGGAGACTAGCGCTTCGGAGAGCCGGAAACAAACTCTAGGAATGTGGCCGAGAGCGGAGAAAGGATGCCGCTGTTTAGGATGAGGGAGACTTGTGTCTCCGGTACCGGATACGGCGAAAATTCGTTGCGCGGGTCACGAATCTGGGGAGCGGGATCAGCCGTCCAGCTCGGCGAACGATGCGCTCACCTTCCTAGCCCCGAGGACCCGGCTCTCCCGGCCGTCGGATGTCTCAGGGCTGGATGCAGGAGGCAGGATACTGGGCTGAGTTCAGGGCTTGCCCAGAATTCCAAGTTCCTCCTGAGTCTTCCTGTGAGGGGAGGCGCGGACTGGGGGGGTCCCCGCGTTTCCCGAGTACAAGGCCGCATCCCACTCCCTCCCATGCCGGCCCCACCGAAGGGCTCTACCACCGCTCCACTCACCGGCTCCCGCCACCTGGGTTCCTCTCCAGGACCTCGGCCGCCCTCGCCTCCCGACTCGCCCGCCCACCGGCCTCTCTTTCCAGTTCCCTCCGGAGTGCAGGGGCCCCGGGCGGCGCCTACGCCGAGAGCGGGGTCGGAGGCCAAGCTGGGGCGCGGGCCAGAGCGGCTGAGCCGCCGGGCGAGGGAGGAGGGCGCCCCCTCTCCTCACGGGGCCATGTCAATGCTTTGCACTTGGAGCCGGCGTGCGGCTGGGGGGTCCTTCCCCAGGGCCTTGGGACCCGGTCGCCCCCCGCCTCAGGCCCTTTCGGCGGGTCGGGTCGGCCCGCCGCTCTTTCCCGTCCGGGCGCAGGCAGCCGCGGGCGCGGGCGGTGGGGTGGGGGCCGGGGCAGGGGGAGGGGTCTCGGGGCCCGCTTGCCCGTCATTGGTTAATATTTTATTCTGTTGACATGTTTTCTTACTGCTGAGGCTTCCGACACCTTCTCCCCGGCCCCCCCTCCCGGCCGGAGCTTGGCTAGAGCTGTCAAAACCCCGCCCCCGGAGACCCACAATTGGTCCAAAAAGCGTAAAATCAGCAATCAAGGGGGGCCTGGCTCGTTAGCGCAGGGGATCCGAGCAGGGCAGGACATGTGAGATAGTCACAGTTTTCCAGAGATCACGACAAGATCTAACCAGTCGCGCGTGGTCCCCGGCGCCGGAGCGGGCCAGCCCAGCCCAGCGCAGAGCCCCCGCCACCCCCGCGCCCAGAGCCCCGCGCCCCTCGCCGTGCCTCGGACGGAGAGCCGGGAGGAGCCGCCGCTGCCTCTTGCCACCTTCCCGGGTCCTCCGCTGCCGCCTCCCGCCGGGCCAATTGAACCACTATTCCCGGCCCCTGGGCGCCTGGGCCGGATGTCCCGATGAGAGAGCCGGCGCTGACGTATGCGCCATATTACCACCGTTCCACGCGCCATGGCCGGCCGACTTCCCCATGTCCGCCTTCCTGGCGGCGCAATCCCTCCTTCTTCCCGGCGCTGCCGCACTGCCGCCCGGCGCGCTGGCCAAGCCGCTGCCCGACCCGGGCCTGGCGGGGGCGGCGGCCGCGGCGGCCGCGGCGGCGGCGGCGGCCGAGGCGGGGCTGCACGTCTCGGCACTCGGCCCGCACCCGCCCGCCGCGCATCTGCGCTCGCTTAAGAGCCTGGAGCCCGAGGACGAGGTGGAGGACGACCCCAAGGTGACGCTGGAGGCCAAGGAGCTGTGGGACCAGTTCCACAAGCTGGGCACCGAGATGGTCATCACCAAGTCTGGGAGGTAGGGCGGCCGGCTGGCCGGCGGGCAAGCAGGCGGGCGGGCGGGCTGGGGGACCCGACAGCACAGACCAGCGCCGAGCCTGCCGCTCGAGGCTCCGGGCTCTGGCCCCGGCGCCACGCTTAGCTCCCACAGGCAACCAAGTTGACTTTTCTCATTTGGCACCGAGAGAAATTTTAAAAACTAAAACATGAAAATCTCCCAAATAAAGTAAAACGAAAACATGCTGTTAAAGAACAGTCCTAACCATTCTGAGTCCCAAAGCTGAGGAGGTCCTGCGGCTCGGCCCGGGCGGGTCTCAGACATCTCCGCGGTAACTCAGCCTCGCCGCCTCGTTCTCCTGCCTCCCGGTCTGACTCGGAGCTCCAGGGAGATGTAGCATCTCCCGGAATGTCCTCTGACCCTGAAGCCCATAATGAAACCTGTACCATGCTAGGCCCTGGCTGGCCAGCCGATTCCAGCCGGCCGTCCCTTTCCGGCAGTAAGCCCCAAGCGGCCCTGTCGAAGCCTGACCCAGGCTGGGAGCCTTGTCCTGGCCCAAGGAGCAAAAAGCTCCCTACTCACACACCACTCCAGGCCTTAACGCCTGAAGAAAATCACAGCCCCCAGCCCCTCCACCCTTTGACTCAGCCGCCGGGAATCCAGGCCTCAGGTTCACCCTCTTCCCCCGAAACTTAAGGTTCTTGTTGGGCTGCAACCCAGTTATCCAAGCAAACATCTTCTGGTTTTATTTTTGGGAGTTTCAGTCCCAGTGGGCATATCTCCTGAATGAATTTTGGGAAGATTCAAAAGAAGCAGGTGTATTTCTAGGGGGCCTGGATTTCTTTCCTGGACATCCGCTTTCATCTCAGATGAGGGAGAAAGAGAGTCACCAGATCTAAGGATAAAGCCGATGGGAAGCCATATAGTAAGAGAGAGTTTGACAAGCGGAAATGGGATCCCCCAGGAATAATAACCACAGGTGGGGTCTCTCAGGCAGTAATATGGGGGCAGAGCCCAGACAACCGGGAAACACAGATGGGGAAGCTCCTGGCAGTGGTGTGTGCTTGGGGAGTGAGGTCCTCCGACATAAAACCGGGTCCCATGGAGTCTTGCCCTTTCCCTTCCTCGCAGGCGGATGTTTCCTCCCTTCAAGGTGCGAGTCAGCGGCCTGGACAAAAAGGCGAAATATATCCTGCTGATGGACATTGTGGCCGCTGATGATTGCCGGTATAAATTCCATAACTCGCGCTGGATGGTGGCGGGCAAGGCCGACCCAGAGATGCCCAAACGCATGTACATCCACCCAGACAGCCCGGCCACGGGAGAGCAGTGGATGGCCAAGCCTGTGGCTTTCCACAAGCTGAAACTGACCAACAACATCTCCGACAAGCATGGCTTCGTGAGTGCTGGGCGGGCGCGGGGATGGGGGTCGGAGACTGAGTGTCCTACGCTGCAGGGGGTGGGGGCGGGAGAGCAGGCGGCGGGATTCCCCAGAGAGGAGCGCTGGCCGAACTCTCAAAGTGCCCCTGCTTGGGTCACCGCCCTGTGGCCTATGCTGGCTGAGTCTGGGCCCAGAGGGCTCCCCTTTGCCAGCCTGGGTTGTGGGGTGGAAAGCCCCAGGCTGCTCACAATCTTGGCTGGGGTCAAGCCTTCCAAAGCTCTTCCTAGAGCCCAGCCGGAGGCAGGTGCGACTCAGTTGTGTGGCCTCTGGTGTTTAAGTGCTGAGCTTGGAAGTCCTGCCCCCAACCTCAGCTTGTCCTCACCCTTCCCCATGACCTGTGTCCCCATTTCCCTTCCCAACCCCTCCCCAGACTAGGAGATTTAAAAGTTAAACCAGCCCCTTTAACATCCTAAGTCTCCATTCCCTCCTCCCATAGGCAAACGCCCTACCAGGAGGGGGGAGTTTGGGGGGTTCTCTCCATTTCTGCCTGAGGCAGGGCCCCAGTGAATGGGAAGGGGGGGGGTTGATGGGGCAAAAGGGATTGTCCATTCAGAAGTAGGGCGCTCGTTGAGCCCCCAAAGATCCAAAGCTTCTCTCTGTAGAGTTACTAGGGGCTTAGCAATGAGCCCAGGAAGAGAGGTTAAGAGTGGAGTTATGGGGGTTTTCTTTTGTTTTATTTCTATTTTCAACTGGGGTAATTTTTTTAAGTAGAGAGAGAAACTGTGATAAAGAAAGCTGAGAGAAAAATAAAAAGAAATATAGGAAAGAAAAAAGGCAGAGAAGACAGGAGAAAATAGCAAAGGAGGGGGTGTAGAAGGCAGACGAAGAGAGAGAGAGCATTGGAAAGAGGTCGGGTCTCCAGAGAGTAGAAATGCTCCGGCCAAAAGCTGGGGGCTATCGGCTGACCCGCACCCTCCCCACAGACCATTCTGAACTCCATGCACAAGTACCAACCGCGCTTCCACATTGTGAGAGCCAACGACATCCTGAAGCTGCCCTACAGCACCTTCCGCACCTACGTGTTCCCTGAGACCGACTTCATCGCGGTCACTGCCTACCAGAACGATAAGGTGCGCTTGGGGGGGGGGGGGCGATGGGCCCAGCCTCTGCACCGATGCCCCCTTACACCTGCAGACTCCACCCCTTCACTCATATCTGCCCGTAGACCCCAGCACCCATCTCTCGCTCTCACAGCTCACTCCAGAGCAGCAAGTCTCATCTGTAACCGCAGCACCCACTGAAATCTTCCAGGCTCCCCCCCACACCAAGTCCGTGACACGTATACACAGGCTCCCCCTCGGGGCGCTAACAGCTGGGCACTCCAAGGGGTGGGGATATTTACTTAGCAATTAGCCGAGACTCCCAGCCCGTGCTGACATTTTTACATTTTATTCGTTTATTTCTTGGCATTGGAATGGGAATTTAAATGAAGAGAGGGAGCCTGAGGCACCCTGCCCTGGCTCTCCTGACTCTCTGGAAACCAGCAATAGGAACCTGGGGCCCAGTTTTCACTCTCTCGGGGGAGCCAGAGGGCGGGACAGGTGACACAGCTTCCCAAAGTATCCCCACTCTGGGTCGGTCCAGGCTGTGAACCCCTTGGGAGGTGCTTAGAGAATTTTTCTGCTTGCTGCCTTTCTATCCCCCTTTTCTAGAGGTGCAGAGCTCACTCCCTCTGGGCCTGTGCCCATATACCACTCTCTGGAGAGTGTCCAAGTGTCCTGCCGGTCGTTCTTTTTGTCTTTGTGAAATGGCGTGTATGCGGGTATGTGGGCAACATTTCGGGAGACTCAGATACGTGTGGAGGAGTGTGAATTCGTTCTGTTCTCTGGGCACTTGCTTATTTTGTCTGTGTGTACTTGCGTGTGCGCGGGCCCGTGAGTGTGATTTGTCTCTGTGGTGTGGACTCGCGTGTGTTTTGCTGTCTCCGTGCGCGCCTGCTCCGATGCCCGGTTTGTTAAACTTGAGTGACCGAGTGCGTCTGTGTGCATGCTTGGGCAGATTTCGACTCTTTGCACACACCTTTGGGCTTGTGTGTGCAAGATAAGGGAATATGCTTCGAATAAAGTGGAAGAGGAGAGACCCTGTGGCTTCCCGCGAGGCCCGCCCGCTGGCCTCAACTCGTCTTCCAGCTCGGAGAGTCGTATCCTAGGCGGGCGGGTACCAAGTGGACTTTCGCGGGGTTCTCCTCTGGGGCGGCAGCCTCCGACCTCGGGGTGCCTCAGCCCAGGCTGGAGGAGACTCGTCCTGACCTGGCGCCGCCCCCTCGGTCCCTGCAGATCACTCAACTGAAGATCGACAACAACCCGTTTGCCAAGGGCTTCCGGGACACCGGGAATGGCCGGCGGGAGAAAAGGTGAGGGGTGAGCTGGACGGCTGCGCGGTGGGAGACTGAGCCAGCAGAACGCTGGGGGGTGTGAGCTCGTCTCTGACCGGCTCCCTCCGCTCATCCCCAGGAAGCAGCTGACGCTGCCGTCTCTGCGGCTGTACGAGGAGCACTGCAAACCGGAACGCGACGGCGCCGAGTCCGACGCCTCTTCTTGCGACCCTGCCCCCGCGCGGGAACCGCCACCCTCCCCGGGGTCAGCGCCTAGTCCCCTGCGCCTGCATCGGACCAGAGGTGAGAGTTGGGTGGTCGGACCCGGGGTAGAGGAAGGGGAGGTTCTCCTTCCGACCCCAGGCTGGCTCTTTGCTCAGCTTCCGGGTAACCACAAAACCTGCGGGAAGCGTCAGCAGTGTGTCTGGGATGGGGCAAACGACCGAGGCCTTTCCAGTGAGGGCGGTCCGGGTATCCGGAAGATCTGGCTGCCCAGCTATGTCCTTGGCACTGTGTGACTCTAGCAGTGAGTTTCCTTTACATGGCTCAATTTCTCCCGCTGTAAATACGGAGCCTTAGGTTAGGTGACCTGCAGCTGCCCCTTTGCCCGACGAGGATCTGGAAGTTCCTCGAACGTGGCTTCCTCGGGAGCAGGCCTCTCCCAGTCTCTCCGATCCGGTCCAGACACCGGTGGAGGAGGGGAGGCCTCGCGTCTGTCTCTTCCGGGACCCCTGTGACCTCCCGCGTCCTTTCTCCCTGCAGCCGAAGACAAGTCGTGCGCCGCGGACAGCGACCCAGAGCCGGAAAGGCTGAGCGAGGAGCGCGCAGGGCCGGCTCTCGGCCGCAGCCCGGCCCTGGACAGCGCCAGCCCCCCTCGCTTGACCGAACCTGAGCGCTCCCGGGAGCGGCGCAGCCCCGAGAGGGGCAAGGAGCCGGCGGAGAGCGGCGGGGACGGTCCGTTTGGCCTGCGGAGCCTAGAGAAGGAGCGCACGGAAGCAAGGCGAAAGGACGAGGGGCGCAAGGAGGCAGGCGAGGGCAAGGAGCCCGGCCTGGCGCCGCTGGTGGTGCAGACGGACAGTGCGTCCCCTCTGGGCGCCGGACACCTGCCGGGCCTGGCTTTCTCCGGCCATCTGCACGGGCAGCAGTTCTTCGGGCCGCTGGGGGCCGGCCAGCCGCTCTTCTTGCACCCGGGACAGTTCGCCATGGGCCCTGGAGCCTTCTCTGCCATGGGCATGGGTCACCTGCTGGCATCGGTGGCGGGCAGCAGCAGCAGTGGGGGGGCTGGCGGCCCAGGGACCGCCACCGGGCTGGACGCAGGCGGGCTGGGTCCCGCGGCCAGCGCCGCAAGCACCGCTGCGCCCTTCCCGTTCCACCTCTCCCAGCACATGCTGGCATCTCAGGTAAGACCTGTGATCTGAAGGGAGAAAGAGCAAGGTGGGCATAGGGCCTGGGGGTGCCATAGGTGCTCTGAGTTTCTAGCGGACAACGACTCTGTCCTGGGGAGACCTGACACTCCACCACACCTAGGTTCGGGGAGACTGAGAGTGTAGGTCTAGGGTCTCGCCAGGGTGCCGTTCTGACTGTGTGTGACTGTGGACAAGTGCCTGACCCTCTTTGGGCCTGTTTCCTTCCCTATAACTCCAGCATAGAGTGGCACCCAGTAGACTCTTCCTCTGACAGACTGAGTCTGCCTCTGGCTTTGTGAAGTCCACTTTCCTGGCCTCAGGACACTTCTCTTGGAAACAAAAACCCTTGGCTCACTGTCAGTCCCTGAAGGGCTAAGATGCCTGGAAAAAGGGAGTAGGAAGATTTGCAATATTTTCTGGACAATTGACTGCCAAAATGACCCACCTCTCAGATGCCTCTGGCCCCTTTCAGGCCCTCCAGAAGTCCTCCTGTTCCTTCCCCCACCTTAGGTCTCCCAACCACACATCTCAGGAAAGAAGGGCTCAGTTCCCCAAGCCCAGGCTGAAATTCTGAGCTCCCAGGGGAGACTTTATGAAACTGGCTAGGAGCAAAATAAGGAGACCCAATGGGGAGAGCGGCCTCTTTGGTTGCTTGGGTGGAATATTCCCTGTGGAAAGATTTGGAATCTCTACATTCATTTTCTTCCCTCTGAGGTTTCTGGCAAATTGAACCTTTGAGATCTTATCTTAAGGGAAGGAAAATAGGAGTTCAGGTCTGAGAAGGCTCCTTTGGTTGAGAAGCAAATATTTTTTAAATGGGGGAAGGGATCCTGAAATGGGTTTTAAATAGAGCTCAGTGTCAGGGATATGTGGAGTGAGCATTTGAAACACTAACATCACATATCTGTGGCTCTGAGATGGCAAGGAAGCTTCTGGAAAATGTAGCTCAGGTCCTGGAGGTTTAATCTGCATCCTTGATTCCATATGTATGTGAATGCCTCCTCCCCAGCATGGGCATCATAAAGGTTGTCGGGAAGTCAGGGCTTCTAGATACAGCCTGGTCAACAGGTGCAAGGCCAGGTTGAGAGGACCCAGCACTCAGGAGGTATCACTTGGTATACTGCTACTGGTTAAGTTCCTATGCCTGAGTAGCCCGCCCTTGGCCATCAGGTAGAGCCAAATTTGGGGAGATTTGAAGCCTCCCTCCTTCCTCTCCCCCTGAGATACCAGGACTAAATGCCCAGTAGGACTTGACCTTCTCAGGAAGGATATTTTCTCATTCCCGACTGGGCTACTTCTTTCCTTCTCCCTGCCTGAGCCAGGCCTGAGGCTCCCTGGAAGCCCAGCACAGCCAGCTCCCTGCCCTCCTCCCCATACCCTCTTACTCTGGAGAGTGAGCCATTATCTCAAAGGTCAGATAATCCCAAAGTCGGGCCTCATAGACTCAGCAGATGTTTGTCAGGGTTTCCTGGCTACTGTGCTCTCCACGGGCAGACTTTGCATTCCTTCCTCAGCTGCCACTGAGGTGCTGCCAGGAGCTCTTTGTAGAATATCCAGGCCAGTTTATAAACGGATTGGCATCTATGCCCTTCTGACCCAGGCAGGAGATCCCTGAGCAGGCAGGCAGGTAGAAGAAGAATGTACGGAGTTCCTCACCTCTCCTGCCCAGGCTTTCTCAGTCCTGTGGGGCACCTGCAGATAGAAGGGTTGGGGAGGACACTCTTTTAAATGAGCAGAACCTCCCAAGACAGCCAAAGCTGCCTACTTGCCACCTGGCTCTATGCCTGCCCAGTTTCCTCCCTCTAGGCTTTTGCTCATGCTAGTTCAGCCACCTGGCATGTCTTTCCCTCACTCGTACTGTAATGCCTGGCACAGAGCTTGACGGCACCAGACCTTTGCATCATAACCTGAAGTGAGCTCCTGTCTAACTGGGTTTGGCCATAGGCATACTGGCTCTCCTCTACCTGTGCTGCTTGGGGTTACAGTTATGTGAGCTCTGGTATTATATTCCTAAAACAGTAGGGCAAGGATTCCTGGTGGTACACCACCCCCAGCACCCAGCTCACCCTTAGAACACCTCAGGCAGGATGCCTAACCCTTGTCTTGTTCTTTTCTTTCAGGGAATCCCAATGCCCACTTTCGGAGGCCTCTTCCCCTACCCCTACACCTACATGGCAGCCGCTGCGGCAGCGGCCTCTGCTTTGCCAGCCACCAGTGCTGCGGCTGCAGCTGCTGCAGCTGCGGGCTCCCTATCCCGGAGCCACTTTCTGGGCAATGCCCGGCCCCGCCTGCGGTTCAGCCCCTACCAGATCCCGGTCACTATCCCGCCTAGCGCTAGTCTTCTCACCACGGGGCTGGCGGCGGAGGGCTCCAAGGCTGCGGGCAGCAACAGCCGGGAGCCCAGCCCGCTACCGGAGCTGGCTCTCCGCAAGGTTGGGGCCCCATCCCGCGGTGCCCTGTCGCCCAGCGGCTCAGCCAAAGAGGCGGCCAGTGAACTGCAGAGCATCCAGAGACTGGTGAGTGGGCTGGAGAGCCAGCGAGCCCTCTCCCCCGGCAGGGAGTCGCCCAAGTGAGGGGACTGCCCAGCTGCTCCACTGCCACGCAGACCTCCCCGGCTGCCTGCCCCTGCTGCTTGGGACGTGTACAGCACAGAATGGGTATTTATTTAAATAAAGGAGCAAAAGCGGGCTGCTGCAGCCGGAATAGAACCCTGGCCAGCCAGCCGGAGCCTGGGACAATTCCCTAGGCCCCAAGAAGAACCGGGCTGCCGGGAACACAGTCGCTTAGGAGCCACTGGTCACTGTCCAGATCTGCTCCGATGTCAAAGTGGCATTGGCCAGGTGTCCCTCCAGGTCCTCCAGCGCTGTGGGGAGGCCTCACTGCCCCGCCCAGTGGTCTCATCGGGAGACAGAAGGTGCAGGAGTCAGGGATGGGAACTTCGGAGGGAACCCCAGAGCTCCTAGCCTTGGGCCTGGACCGCTTGAGAATCTGCAGTAAGGGATGCGGGCTCAGTGAAGACTGAAATCAGTGTAGACTTGAGCTGGGAGGGACCTGTTCTTTTAGTCCTCCCACTTCTTCCCCCGAAAGACAGGCGCTCCTCCCACCCCTCGGTCAGGGGAGGGAGTGGCACTTCTGCCTTGAGTCCCCAGGGGGAGAAAAAAAAAGATATTTATAAAATAAATGGTAATTTGTGTAAATAAGCTTTAAGGTTCCCAGAATATACAAATTGGTATTAATTTATTCAAAGGTGTACATTGCTGTGTACATAATATTTAGAGATTAATTCATAGCATTTAAAATTTCTTTTCATTTTACATAAGCATCTATATTGTACAGGGCTGGGGGGGTCCTCGGCTGCGGGAGAAGCCCCATCCCTGGAGGGGCTCCCACCCCGCCAGCCCCTCGGCCCCTCCGCCCGGGCTTTGCTCGCCCGGCCCGCGGGCTCCACCTCAGGTTTTCACTTTTCGCTACCGAGCGAGACGAAAAGACAAAAACTCGAGAAAACAATAAAACGCTGCAATGCGAAGTGAACGGCGCTGTGCGCTCTGTGGGCCGCGTGGGGTAGGGGCGCAGCAAGCGCGTTAGGAGGGACTGGAGGCGGGGACAAAACGTCGGGCGCCCCCAGCTCGGCGGCAGCTGCACCCCGGGGGCGGCAGCGGGCTGGCTGGGGCAGCGGGCGGAGCTGCGAGGCCGAGCGGCGCCGGCGCGGGCCACCGGCTGGGCCGGGAGGCGCCGAGCCGCTTCGAGTCCCCCGCGCTCCCGGCGCGGGCCGCCTCCCAAGCCAGGGGCCGGGCTCCCTCTGCTGGCCACTTGCCTCCGGCCGTCGCCCCAGCCACTCTGCACCGGGACTCCTGACTTCCTTTCAGGGGCTCCAGAGTAGAAACGAATCCCGTTTTAGCGCCTCTGGGTAGGCGGAGCTGGTAAGATGGGTGCACTCTACTCCCTCTCTCCCTTCTGAGGAGGAGTTTGGCCGTGGTGCACCCAGTACCGCGGACCCTAGAATCCTTTTCATCTCTCTGCCTCCTGGACCTCAAAAAGAAACCGTTCTTGGGGCGTCTGGCTAGCTCAGTGGGTAAAGCACAAGACCCTTGATCTTGGGGTGGTAAGTTTGGGCCCCACGTTTGACTTAGATATTACTTTCTTTAAAAAGAAGAAAGAAGCATTTCTCCTTGCCAGGGCTGTTGGCTAGAGTGACAGAGTCTAACCTGAAAGTTCTCCCGTGTAACTCATCTAAATCTCTTTTGGGGGTGTGGGAAGTGTGGGTCAATAGGCTACTTCCTTTACTGCCTCAGTTTCCTCTGGTATAATAAAGGGCTCCGCTGGGGTATCTCTGGGAGTCCCACGTGTCTTCCCAGTGGCACGTTCTTCCCAGTGGCCCCCTCCTGCAAGTGGGCCTCCCACCCCCATCCTTTGAGCTTCTTTCTGCTTCACACAGCCAACAGGTGTCTCCGACCCCCAAATCCTAGTAGTGGGAAGGGGTGAGAGATGGGAAGTCACTCCTTTAACCCACCCTCAGGTCTGTCCATCACCGAGCCCCCACCTCCTTCCCAGTTCTCTGCTCTTTAAGCCTTGGGAGTCCGTGCTGCCCTGGACGAACACACTGCCTGCCCACCTTGGGTACTTTAGGGGGCGGCAAGCACAGGTCCCCCAACTCACCAGGAACACCAGGAATGGTAAGATGAAGGAAGGGTGAAGGTGGAGGTGGAACTGCCAGTATCCGGGCCTCCAAGTGCCCAGGACGCCTCCGTGGGCCGACACACTTGCAAGGAAAGAGAACTGTGTCCGGCCTGTTCCACGGAGGGAGCTGGACCCAGCCTACGCTGAATTCGGCAAGGGGCTTGGCCAGTGAGCGAGCAAAAGGGCGCAAAAACTGTCCCAGCTCCCAGAGTGTGGGCTGCTTCTTCGCTCTCTGTCCTTCCGCAGGCAGGACAGCGAATGGGGCAGTCCAGGAACCGGGCGGGCCAGAGAGGCCACTTTCTCAGCTCAAATAGAATCCCTCGTGGACAGTGTGCTTATTTGAGGTCGCTTTCGGCTCAAAACATCTCTGAAATTTTCGAAGAGCGGGGCGCGTTCACTTCTTCCGGTTTCTCCCCGCACGTCTAAGAAGGAAAGTTGGGCAGAGGCTGCAAGTGCACGGCAGTCTCAGGAGCGGGTTGCTGACACCAGGGGGCAGTACCAACCTAAAGCTGCGGTGAGGGCGGCGCGCAGAGTGGGGAACTCCAAGAGGGTGGCCGCGAATGTCAGGCAGGGCGGCCTGGTTGCGGCCGCAGCCTCGCCGCATCGTTGCTGCAGCACCCCGGATGAGGTGGAGTGATACTTAAGGGCCTCGAGAGGCCCCAGGCCCTGAGTGCAGTTTGGGGAGTCGTCCTGAATTCCCCCGCCTCCCGCCGGCAAATCCTGTCCCGGAGTCGCCCTCCAGGCGCTCCGCTGGGTCTCAGCTGAGAACCTGAGTTCGGCTGCGGGAACCGCGCGGCCGGCAGCAAGGCCTTGTCCCAGACAAAGGCCAGGCCGCTCCCTGGCCCAATTAAGCCACCCATCACCCCCCTTCCCCGCCTTGCATCCCTCATTGTTCCCGGGGTCGCCAATTAGCCCCGGCGTTCCGCGTCCCACCGCTCTGGTGCCCCAAGGCCTTCTTAACCCTTCTGGGCCTGGCATCAGGGGCCCTAGACGGCAGAATCCCCTGCGCACGGCTGTATGTGGAGGGCGTGTTTGGGTTGATGGGGACTGAGGGGTCACTGCGGGGCCGTGTGCGTTGGAACTGTGGGGTTAGAGAGGGAACTGTGCTTGGCTGTGTGGGATGGTTGAGTGTGACTTCACTGGGGAACTTGGAGACGGGGGATGTGGGTGTGGGGTCTCCGTGAGACCCCTAGCGGCCAAGCCGTGTGGATCTCCAGGCCCAGGAGAACTCATTTCCTCTTGGGATAAATAGGAGTCTACCGAATCCCCTCAAGCCA